AAAAAAGAAAAACAAAAATGGCTGTATATAAGAGTAGTCTTCTGCCAGCTTGTTACATTGGAAATTAGAGTTGGGTTTCTCAAAAGAAAAACGATGAATGTATGCTGAATGAATATGAATGAAAATAAAATAAATGCAAAAGTAAGAGATCGGCATGAAATAAATATTTTGAGGTGGCTTGATCATGAAGAGAAGGGCGGCACTGGGCAACAATTATATGAAGAGTGAAAGATTGAGAGGATAGGGAAGACTGAAAGTGCCATGGGGAAATTAATGAGAATCTGAAAAAGATTTTTTTTTAAATTAAAAAGCAGCATTTAGACACAAAGATTATTTTCAAGGACCAAAAGATATGGAAAGATATATTGAAAGGTACTGATGTAAAATAGTTTTTATCTATTTTCCCCTTTATCTCATACTATTAATTTCTTTGACTAGTTTTTCCATCCCCTTTCTGTGCTCTGCATAATGCTGCTGCTGAAGTATAACATAGAGCACAGAATAGTGTGATAAGTACATATATATGTCAATGGATTTATCTATTATGCTAAAGTAGGACTACCATATATGGAGTGCAAAAATACAAGCAACCACTAAATGGAAGAAAGAATTAAGAGTTTTCTACATCTCTTTGCTACCATCTTGTGGCAATCTAGATTTTTGCAACTCTATATAGTACTAGTTAAGACTCCATATGTTTTACTATGATGCACAGCTGGCTGCAAATAAATCCCATTTGGCTTAGCAAGACATCTGAACCCAGCCACAGATTATACTTTATTCAATTTCAGTATTTGTTAAGGGTGAAATACTATAATTATTTAGCTCTGAATAAGCCCATTGGCCCTAAAGCTGTTTGCTCGCTAGGTTTAATAAATACACACATAGTTATGCTTTATTCTAGACAGGATAGAATTGGTCAAACTTACAATTGAACTGAACTGTAATTATGTTAGCAGCATATAGAGTGGAATTAATTTTTCCATACAAAATCAGGGTAAAGCTGGCTTGAATAATGTTCCCCCTTTTTAATCTTTGTGCTGCTAGATTGGGAAGTCTTTAGAGCCATCACAGAAACTATTCATGTTGATAATCATGTTGAAAATTAAATTAGTAAATGTAAACCGATAGGAAACTAAATCAGCTAACCCCGCTTTGCCAACTCAGGATTACTCTCTATGTGATGTTCACTTCCAATCTTAATTTCACTCAGTGCCCATCAAATTGAAGGTGTCAATTTAAAAAACCCAATTGTTGTGCTTTTAAAGGTCAGGCTGGTTTCCAGAAATTTATCTGAATATTTTATAGGTAGCCTTTTCTTTGAGGACTTTCAAAGCCTATTGTTTCATTTGTCATGAACTAGACCGACCCATCAGTTATGATTTATTTTCATTTTCTATCCACTCAGGTATATAGCTGGATTCAGACATCACACTTAAACCAGATTTGTTAGGCATGTTTTATTCAATAAACCATAATTGTCTAGATTCATCTATGCTAAATTTACATGATTTACTTGACATACTGATTGAATTCATGTAACATGCTAAGTCTGTTTCTTACCTTCAGCAATTTTAAGACATATGGCATTCAAGTTCAAGAATTCTCCAACCAACAAGCTGGCTGGGGGAATTCTGGGAATTGAAGTCCACCTACTGCCCTAATCAATCAAGCAGAGTAAGGCCCTTTGAGTATTAGAGTAGGATTCTTCCAGTATATAGCAGGTTGTAGCAGAGGTAATATTCAGCAGATTCTGGAACTTCCATTTTGAAGGGCTTCGGTGACAGAAAGAAATCCGCGATCATGCGCGGTTTCGGTCTGGGGTCACTGCTGGAGCGCCCCGAGCCGGCTGGTTTTGGGGCTAAGCCACCCCGTAGAGGTGGCGAAGAGGGGGAAGACTGCCAGCAGGGTTGAGGAGAGCCACATCCTTCCTCTTCAGCTGGCCATTACTCCCTTTCCCGAAGGCAGTTGTAGCGGTGGTCAGTAATGGCCACCACAAAGAAGAACTCGACCGGAAAAGAATGTGCAGCAGGAAGATAAGAAGTGAAAGTTTTGGCTGACCGGGTTAAATTGTAAAAGCAACAACTAAGGTACCCTGGAATTTAAACTTACAAAAAAATAACATCACTCCCGAAGAAGAGTCGGAAACGGCGAAGGAAAGTGAAAAGGGAAAGGTTTGGCTTTTTTTTTCTTCTCTCTCCTTCCCTATACTGAAAACTAAGAGACTTAAATAAGAAATCGGAAAAATCTGCTTTGACATCAATAGGCAATTAAGTTGAAAATGAAACAAGATGCCAAAGGGATAATAAAGATTTCTGGACATTAAAAATTTTCTTTTTCATAAGCAGGAAGGGAGAGAAAAAGAGTAAGGGCAGGATCTGGAAGAGGGAGGAGGCTGCCTGGAATTAAAAAGAATCTACAGTAAAATTTCAACAAGACTTCTAAAAGATACATTTTAACTGAAACTTTGCAACTAAATAGTAACCCCAGGAAGAGAAAGTGAAAAAAAAGAGCAAAAAAGAAACAGCTTGCGTGTATTTGGATTATTTGGTGATCTTTGGATTCTTGGTTATTATATTTGAATGACTAAAATCAATCAGGTGGTTGTTTAAAAATGTATGCAATGGCACCACTTCTGGATGAATTGAAAATGGTACTTAAAAAGTACAAAGAAGATGCACAAGAAGGGAGAAGTTCTTTTGGCTTTGTTTTTCAATTCTTAGAAATGGAGATTTGGAACTATGAGAAACAACAAGAAAAGACTGCAAAACAAGAAGACTGGGACAAAGAAGAAGCCATCTTTAATGAACTAACAATTTTATGTTGGGAAGAAAAAGGAAAGTGGGGAAAGAGAATGGAGAATTTAAGACTTAAAAAACAACCAAAGAAAGGAAAAATAATTCGAAAAATAAGTATAATACTGGAAAGCAACAGAAGAGGGGAATACAGAAGAGAGAAATAGAGGTAGAGAGACAAGCGGGTAAAAAGGGGAGAGAGAAGAAGAGAGGGAAGAAGGAAAGGAAAAGAAGTTACAAAGGAGCAAGATATAGAGAAACAGGACCTATTTAGAGATAATGGGTGAAAATCTAATTGAAAAAGGGATTCTGTAAAGGTACATAAGATTGTATTGTTATATTAGTAATAGAAATAACTTTAGAAAATTGGAAACAACGTATGATTAAAATGAGGGATAAAATAGTTAGTGTAATTTAGTGAAACGTTTGTGAATAAAATAAGTGAAATAAAATAAATGAGAAAATTGAATTAGGAAGGAAAGGGAACATTTTAATTAGTTAATGTTTTATAAAATATAAGTGAAGGGGGGGAATTAACTATGGAAAGCTTATAATTGTTCCCATAGAAGTATGATATTTAATTGAAAAGTAATGTTAAAGATGCTAAGACTTTAATGAATATTAATATTAATGATAGAATTGAATTGGAATGGAATGTTGTTTTAATTATATACATTTATAATTTTTTTTTAAGAATACAGTGTGTATTTTAAGAATGTACCAAGCAGAATCTGAATGGATTATGTATTATATTGAATGTTACAACTTTAGGGAAAAGATATAAAGGCGTCATACTCCAATCAGTAACTAAAGGAGAAATTTTGTTTAATGAGAAAAGATAATAGATAATTGAAACAGGACAGACAAAAAATATAAATACAATGATTTGATTTGAGATGAGATAATTAAAATAAAATTGAGAAAATTAAAAGATGGGAGAAGCTATGCAGAAAATGTAAAATAGTAATAAGATATGGAATAGAATATAAAAATGAGCATGAACCTGAATTTGTGTCTGTACGAAGAAATGTAACCCGGGATTATGCTACTTTCAAAAAAGATGTTTTATTTGTATTTTTTTCTCTTTGTGAAAACTCAAATAAAATTTACAAAAAAACAAACAAAAAATCAGCAGGTTCTGACCAGTTCTGGAGAACTGGTAGCAGAAATTTTGAGTAGTTCAGAGAACCGGCAAATACAACCTCTGACTGGAGATTTTACAGTATCCTTCCCCTGCCACACCCACCAAGCCACGCCCACAGAACCGGTAGTAAAAAAATTTGAATCCCACCACTGGTAGGCTAAGCTAAAAAATCAAAAAGAGCTTTCAACAAAAAATTACTGGAAAATCACTTCCGTTTTGTTGCCAAAAAAGCTATCCAAATGTCTGCCTGAAGCCACTACGAGATAAAACTTAACTAAAGGAAACTTACTTTTTTCTTGTATAGTATGAGCTGTTCAAAAGATACATATATTCACACACTAAGCGTCCATCACAGATACATATTTTCAGAATAGTGAAGAGATCTCTCTTTGTTCTCCATAGCTCAGCTTTAAGTTATTCTTGACACACAATTAGCCCTTTCATTCATAGTAATATTCCAGATTTTCCCAAGCTAGCTTTTAGAAATCAATTATGTAAAGACATAACTCAAACACATATTTGAAAAGAATGTTTTCCTGATAGACATATTTCAGCAGTCTTAGGAATATATCTCAAGTGACACTATTAACAAACTGGAGAAAGTAAACATTGATCATTGGGCACTTCTCCCGAAGGGGAAAAATGGGCCCTTAGGAGAAACAAGAACAAAATATGTAGGTTTCACTGCACATTATTCTTTAGGTAATTTTCATGATAATAATACAGTATCATAAATGTGTGGACATAAACATTTTTTCTTTGAGAACAGATAAGAACTGACTAGCTAAAGAACATGGTGGCCGTGCCAACTCATCAAATCAGAGTTTATTTCAAAATATTTTTTCAAGGATATCTACTTGCTGCTATTGCCTGCCTAGTCTGCTTGCTTTTACATTGTTCCTTTTATTAGACCACACTCCCTCCACACAAGTGGACTGGGTAATAATTTATTCTCTCTTTGCATAAGATATCACCACATTCGTCAGCAGGAACTTTTATGCAGCCCTTCTTTGCATCATTTGTGTTCATAAAAAGTCCACTGGTAATGACAATTCTATCCCTTTCAGCTTCTTGCAGGAGGAGAAATGTTAATAAAATCTCCTTCAGGTCAAGCTTAACTCTTGGCAACCGCAATAATGGATTTGTGTACGGGGAGTGGGGAGTTGGCAAAAGGACAGAAGTGGCTTTACTGTTGCCATCTTCCAGGGTGGTTTCTGATTTCCCAGTTTGGCCCGCAAACCTGATATTCTGTGGAGGTCTACTAAGCACAGACTTGGCCTGCCCTTCCTTAGCACTGTCCCAGAACAGTCAAAGTAAGCTGGGGATTGCTACCTGTGAGGGTGTGCTAAAAAATGAAATCCTATGAAGCATCGTATAAGTTATCAAGTAATTAGAGCTATGTGAATATCAGTCCAACAGTCAATGCCATTTTTTCATGTTTCTTTTAACCTCTAGGAAAAGCTTCCTCTAATAAGTTGCTTTCCCAGTGTTCTTTCCAGATGTTCTAGAATTTCAGAAATTCCCATGCTAATTGGCATTCTGGTATTTGGAGTCTGCATATCTACAAGGCACCAGTTGAGGAAGGCTGCTCTAAAAATGCATATATTGCGAAGATGGCTTGTATTTCCTGCAGGATTTCAGATCAGTTAGCAGCAGTGATCTGTGTTTTTTCTGTTGTACAGAAAGGAAAAGGAATTGCTACACAAAACTTGTCAAAGTTTGTACTGTAAAAATGTCTTTTAACTTGCAAGTTATTTTAATTTAAGAGGCAATATGGTAAATAGCCCTTAGATTTCCCTCCCTCAAGTTGCAGAATAGCTGAATGGAAATGATCCATTAAATATATCAGTGTGCAAAGATTATTACAGCAGAGAAGAAAATCAAATATAGTACAATTGAATTAATTGATTTTCCCCTATGACCCATTACTGGACAGCTGGATCCAGTATCTAAAGTTCATTTTTGCTTGACCAATAAGGAAGACATAAATAAGATACTTATTTTCCCTTGATAACTTAACTTAGATTTAAATGCATTGATCTTGGAAAAAGAAACCATGCTGCCTTAAGACCCTAGCTCTAGCCATAAAAGTACAATTACTGAATCCCCACAAGTTCAGAAATAGGAGGTGCGTGGACCATCAGTTCTTCATATTTGTCCAGGAATAGCTTCAAGCGGGACCAGTAAGAATCCTCATTGTACCGTAATTTCTTCTTTTTCAAATACTGAGAAACTAAAGGTTTTATCTGAAATATAATGGAAAAGTAAGGTTAGTATTACAGTAAACACAAATGTTTATTTTTTATTAGGATAGGCCCAGAGCCAAATATAAAGAACTTTGCTGGTCACTAAAAATGACAGAAATCTTTTCAGGCACAAACAACAAGATCTACACATGCAAAGTTCAAAGCTAACTACTTTATTATGTTCTACCTATAAAACAGGAATCTCCCGACTGGCAGCTTTATCTTGGGAACAAGTAGATTAGGTTCCAAGGAGTTTGTAGACTGGGTATTGGTCCTAGCTTTTTGACAGGTATATAGTGACTCCAGGCTAACTCCGCATTTGAACCCTCCTCCTTGCCAGATTGGATGTTTCCCAACATATATGCAACTGAAATAAGTATTAATTAAATAGTATAGACAAGAGTGCTTTAGCAGTCCTTGAGATTCCTGTCATTTTAGCTCCCTTGAAGAATTCTTGAAGAGAAACCAACAATTTTGTGATGTAAAGTACTGTAAAGTAATTACTGTAGCTGTATATATGATCCGTAGAAGGAAGAAGTAGAATTTCCAATGTAAAATATATTTCTTATTCAAAAATGAAACGTATTATTTAGAAAATATGATTTCAGGTCTATAGGTTGTGCAGTTTTTTGCCAGTAGTGCCCCTTTCAGTCTCAAAGCAGCCTGAACTATATAAAAACTAATTTCTGATCAAGAACATAACTTTTTATTGTTGTTAACGGATAGGATTTTGGCCTATATGAAACTCATCAGCTTTTAATCACATACCCTTTTCTATATAAGTAAACATTCAGCAGCAGGGGTGGGATTCTACCAGTTTGCACCTATTCGCTAGAATTGGTTGTTAATATTCTAAGCAGTTCGGAGAATCGGTTATTAGAAGAAATGACTGGCCTAATCCTGTAAGGAAGGCAGGAAGGAAACATTCTGGTGTTGCTTACAGAAACTGCCTCTCCGTTAACCCTTATTATATTCTTGGCAGGACTAGACTTCCTGTCTCAGGAACTTCTCTGGAGTTTTTTTTCCCCTTTTTTGCTGGTACTTTGCTTGTGTGGAGTGACCATTCAAAGTTACAATGGCACTGAAAAAAGTGACTTATGACCATTTTTCACACTTATGACTATTGCAGCATCCCCACAGTCATGAGAGGCCAGGCGAGGAAATGCGTGCCTTGATATTGAGTTGGCCACACCCAGCCAATAACATGACCACCACGCCATGTCCACCCAGTCACATGACCACCAAGCCATGACCCACCACCTAAGCCACGCCCACAGGACCGGTTGTTAAAAATTTTGAATCCCACCCCTGTTCAGCAGGTATTTATTTTGCCCCACCCGACTCTTCCAAATGCCCATTCCATCTGCCATTCAACCTCGCACCTTCAGGCACATGTTATCAGAAAAAGATGGGAAGAGGTGATGCTCCACGTGACAACTAATGAGCGAGTGTCCAAAAACCCAGTCCAACAGAGGATTTCGAGGCAAATTGAGAACTCCGCAGCTCATCATGTGGATTCGTTTTGGCTTCTTATCAGGTGAAAACATGGGTAGGCCAATATGCTATAAGATAAACCACAAATGTTAATTTATTAGGACATTAGGAGACCAAAAGTAGGAGTGGTGCCTAGAGGTGCAGCTCTCACCTCACAATCAGGGGGCTGTGAGTTTGATGCTAAGTAGAGGCAGATATTTCTCTCTCTGGGCAAACTGAGTCCATTCAGTTGCCCAGACTCCACCCCACAAGGGATTATGGGGTCGTTAAAAGATGATGATGATTAGGAGACCAAAACTCTTAGGATATCAATGCTGTCAGCCAAGAAGGATTTTTTTTTATCTGTGAAATAGCAATAGCAACAACACTTAGACTATAGTGCTTTATATAGCACATACTGAGAGATTTACAAATGCCAGCATATTGTCCCCAACAATCTGGGTCCTCATTTTACTGACCTCGGAAGGAAGGAAGGAAGGCTGAGTCAACCTTGAGCCAAATGCAGTATTGCTGAGCAATTCTTCCCACAGTCGGTCAGGATTGAACACCTGGCTATGGCCAGAGTTAATCTGCAATACTGCATTCTAACTGGTGCTCCATCAGCAGCTCATCTGAATGTTTTGTTCAATTTCTTTGTAGTGTTGTAGATTCCATTCTGTAGAATATTTGGAGAAAAACTCATACAAAAAGCGAATAGGTATGAACGAGAGATAGAAAACCTACAGCTCTCTATAATGTTACTGATCTCAGCCAGCAGAGCCAGTAGAGACAGATGCTGGGAATTCAGCAACATTTGGAGATCTAAGTTCCCCTAATGCAAATTAGACTCTGAGGAATACTCGATATTCACAATTTAATTAAAAACTATAATACAATCAAATATTTGGAAGCGAATCTCGCCAAGTTTATGTAGGACAATCTGAAACACTTCCATGTGTTTCCAGTATGTATTTTTTAATTAAAAAAAACCTTATAGAATGATGAAATGATTGTCTAATCTTATGTTACATAGCCTACAGCTAGAAATATCCTTATTTTTACATGACTAGGCCCAAGATCATAGCCTCAGTGCAATCTGAGGGCATCCACATAGCTAAAAATAGCATACACATTGAAAATAGTTGTTCTAATTATCTTTTCATAGTCTCTGAAGCCCCCTTTCTCAACCTTTTTGGTTTCCCAGTCAATTGTTCAATTTGATTTACTGCGATCGAAGACCGGTACTGAGAATTGACAAATAAAATTTAGTACAGAGTTAAAATGCATTTGTAGAATGACCTCACTAGCGTATAAAATATAAAACCCAGGATGTAGCGTATAACATAAACACTGTTTTATGTTAAGTATAATATGATATCTAAAATTGCACCAAAGTAAAAAAAAAAATCTATTAATAGCAAAGTAGCAATATTTAAAATTTTAAATAAATTATGGTTCCCGGGAATGGATTGAGGGATAATCGCCCATCAGAGTTTGATGGATCTTCTGTGCTGATGGGCAAAACCTAGTTAAATACACGGTAAAGAAGGGGTACTTCATCGATACGCAGCATCTGGAGATAGGGTAAGTCTGGGCAACCAGAATATACTCGAAAGGAAAACCTGTGTACTTTGACAATTCAGGATACTTATGCCAAGAGATGCTAATTTCTTCATACAAGATAGGGTTGATGGCCTTACCTGGAAGATATTGACATGGATGTATGCATGGGCGAGGAGAGCACGGGTGATTAACATACAGCCGAGTGCAGACCAGATAGACTGGAACCCTGAGACATTAATCAGCAGCCAATAATGGGCATAGAAACCAACGAACATACAACACAGAGTCCGAATGGCAGTTTTCAGTTCTACTTCTGTGAGTAAACCTACGGAAATGACAATAAGTTAAGCTACTGGGAAGCTACTGTTTCTCGTTACTGTTTTTCTAGTGGTGGTGGGGAGTACAAGAAATCGCTCTGAGACTGAGAAAGGGAAGGGAGTATTTATTGAGACGAATGATCGGGGATGGGAAAGGACATTACAGCTTTGTCAAAGAAATAGATACTTAGCCCATCATGCACACAGCCTTGGAAAAGGAAATTCGGAGACCTTACCTAGAGAAGTCACTACTGGCAGTAAGAAATGGCTAGGTGTCTCCGCTAATCTGTTCTCAATATCTTGTACAGGTAAGTCTTCGACTTACAACAGTTCACTTAGTGACCATCTGAAGTTACAACGGCACGGAAAAAAGTGACCATTTTTCATACTTATGACCATTGCAGGTCACATGATTTATATTCGGATGCTTTGACAACTGACTCACATTTATGGCCGTTGCAGTATCGTGCGGGGGGGGGGGGCTTCTGACAAGCAAAGTCAATGAGGAAGCAAGATTCACTTAACAACCATGTCACTAATTTTACAACTGCAGTGATTTGGTTAACAAGAAAGGTCATAAAACAGGGCAAAACTCAACCAATGTCTCACTTAACAGAAATTTTGGACCCGATTGTGGTCATAATTCAAAGACAACTTGCACTCTTGATTGTGCTCTGCCATTAAGGGGCTTGACAATTGGCTGCCATTGTGGGAAATCACACTGCTGTGAAATCTGGAAAGGTAGTGCAGGCCTGGTGTAAATTCACTATTTCTCCCCTAAGCAATTTATATCTTCTAAATTCCAACCACTATTTTTTTCCGGCAATCTTGCAACATTTAGGAGATACAGACAGCCTTCCACTTATTTTAGTGACTATGTGAAACTACCACAGCACTGAAAATAGTGACTTGCAACTGACACTCACACTTCAAACCATCACAGCATCCCTCATCAGCATGTGATTAAAATTTGAAAATGCATGGCATGTATTTACAATGTTTGCAACATCCAAGAGGTCATGTGATCGCCATTCGCAACTTTCCTGGCAGACAAGCAAAGACAATGAGGGAAAGCTGGATCTATTTAATGACCACGTGATTAGGTTAACTACAATGAACTACAGTTTAAGAACTGTGGCAAAACAAAAGAAAAAGTTCATAAAGGTGGTCAGGACACACTTAACAACTGCTTTAGTTAACAATGCAAATTCTGGTCTTAATTGTGGTCAATTAAGTTGAGGGCTACCTCTACTCCTTTAGATTTAGATCAGGGTTACAAAGTTTTAAATGTCCAAGAAAAGGTGCTTTGAAAGAAGGCGTTTACAATTGCCCTTTATGCTATTTTTTTTTTTTTTGATGGATGGGACTCAGTGGTGGGATTCAAATATTTTTGCTACTGGTTCTGTGGGCGTGGCTTGGTGGGTGTGGCAGGGGAAGGATACTGTAAAATCTCTAGTCAGAGGTGGCATTTGCTGGTTTTCCGAACTACTCAAAATTTCCACTACCGGTTCTCCAGAACTGGTCAGAACCTGCTGAATGCCACCTCTTAGTGGGACTCCCAAGAGAGGAAAATAAAGGGGCTTCCCTTCTAAGACACACATAGTAGCTTGGGGGAAGGGGTAATTTATTTTTTCAGGGCAAAGGATCAGATTCTGCTTTCCCTAGTGCTCATTCTCTGATCAAATTTGAAATTCTCTTTAAAAAAAAATAAATCCAGGGACCTGATTGTAATCTTTCAAAATCTGCTCTCTTTTCTTTTTTTAGTATAGATTTTATTTAAACAGGAGCAAAGGGATTTGAGAAAGGCTCTTATCCAGTAACATATCATCTAATCCGTGTTGCAAGCTTCATCTCATGAAAGAAGGTTTAGGCTGATGGTTTATCTTTATTCATTCTACTTCTCTGATTCTTTCGAAGGCAGAATGCCACGTGCAGCGACAGGCAATATTAGCGAAGAGAGTTAATTGCATTCAACATTTAACACTGTAAAACAAATGAGGGTATGCTCATTAGTAGGAGGATTTGGAGGACAGTAACATACCAATGGCTACTAAAGGAGTGAGGACAGGCACAGCAACAGGTGCAATGAACATATAAACGTAACGGTTCAGGAAAGGAATCTTCCATGTACTGGAATCCCCAAGGCCAATGACGTTGGTGTAAGCATGGTGCATTTTGACATGGTTGTAAGACCCTCGTTCTGCTGTGAAAGCGGAGCAAACCTAGGACAGAAAGAAGGGGCAAATAAAGAACACTGCAATGACCCACATATGTATATGGTACGTCTATTGTACCCAGCAGGTGTGTTAGAATATAACTCCCATCACCCAAGAAGTGATGAACTCCTGCAGATAATACCCAACAGTCAGAGTTACATTCCAAGTTATGGAAGCTGGAAGGAACCAGATTGAAGAAGTCTATAGCAGATCATACAAATGAAGATCTTAATAAAGCTTCCCTCCTAAATTCCACTGCTGCTTGTTAGAGTGTGACAGATTTAAAGCAACATTGATAACAGCATAAATCTTCAAATCATTTAAACAGGTCATTTGATTTAAACAGGAATATGATGGGATAAATGCTTTCACTTTAGTCACCTTCAGGAGTCCATAATATACCAGTGGAGACATTTAGTCAGCCTATGTCATACAATTATACATAAAACATACATACATGACAGAAGTATTCAACTTGTTATTCTCTAGATACTCTGATACAGTTTCCACAGACTAATGCCACTGGCCATGCTAGTTGGGACTGAAGGGAAGTATAATTAGAAATATAATTTAGAAATCATGGGACGTAATTGTTCCATCTTTTTTCTGGTTTGGACAAATCTCATCTAGATTTTTGTATCCAGTTCTGGGCACCTGTGATGATCCGGGGCATGGCACAAAGGCAACACAGTCAGATAATCAGGAGGAGTCTCTTTATTAGGTCAGACTTTTCCCCCAATATCCTGGTTACCCTCTGGCTGGAGAAAAACTCCCCCAGGAACAGCCTTTAGCTGCAGAGAATCAAGTCCAAAATGTGGTCAACAAAAACTGTAACTATAACTACAATCAAGGCAAAATGAGGTGATCAGTTTGAGGAGCAAGAATTCCAGACATGAAGGCACAGCAATAACTCAACATGGTTGAGAAGATCTCAGGAACACAGTTAACTAAAGTCAACACAAGATAAACTTTCGTTTGCTCCCAGCAGCTGCTACACTCAGCATGCATTTCTCTTAAACTCTCATTCCCAGGTATGGCTACTGAAGAGAATCAGGGCCCTTTCCTCTCCCGTAAGCCACACAACCCACATTGCTCTCTTCTCTATTCCTTCCTGCATGATCTAGGATGAAGAAGGGGTGGGCCTGGGTCTTTATCTGAATTCTCTCTCGCTTGTCCTATCTCTTCCCTGCTCTGCCCAGCCAGACTTTGCCCTTCCCCAGTTTCCTCCACAGCCAATGGAGCCATAGAAACAGATTCAAGAAGCTCCCTAGGTTGCTCTTTTCTATTGCAGACTTCCATATGTTTGAGTATATATGCATTTAATGCATCCATATTAGTCCACAATAAAAGAAGTTTGGAAATATAAAATAAGCACTAAAGTATTTTTGGTTCTCTGAAGGTCATTCAGTTGTACTAATTGTGACCAGAAATATCTTCTGTTTATGATACAGAATCAAAAGCACTTCATATTATGTCAATCAATGAGCTTCCTAAAATGAATCAAGGGATCAAGTATAAATAATCTCTATTCACTCCCTTTCAGTACACTTATCTCAGGTTCTTTCTTTCTTTCTTTCTTTCTTTCTTTCTTTCTTTCTTTCTTTCTTTCTTTCTTTCTTTCTTTCTTTCTTT